CGCTGCGTCAGTCGCCCACGGTGGCGGCGGCGGCGGCGGCGGCGGCCCCGCGATGGCTAAGGAATGCGGCGGCTCCGCATAACCACGGGGTCAGAGGTCACGGCTCCGGGCCTCCGCTTTCCCGCGCTGCTGAGAAACCCAGACCGGACTAGTGGCGGGCCGGGATGGCGAGACGCAGCTTTCCCTTCGACGCTCTGATCCGTGCGTGTCTGCCGTGGGTGTGTGTGTGTGTGTGTATGTGTGCCCGCGTGTGTGTGAGAGAGAGAAGAGTGAGGAGGGGGAGTGTGGGTTTTTTTTTTTTTTTTGAACAAAAACAAACCGAAAGGGTAGCTGGGATTTGTAGTCCTTACTCGCTCCACGGCCTCCCCCACTCCGGAAGAAAATGGCTGCCTGAAGTGCTTGGACCACATTTCCCGTCGTGCTCCGGTGCCGTGTTTTCCGCCCACTCTCTTCCGTACCCCGCTGTGCTCCGAGCTCGGTAAAGAAGGGGGCGGGAAGTCGGTCTTGAAGGGATGGGGCGGGGTCTCGCGAGGTTCGGGAACTAGCGGAGCCCTGAGGGTTTCTGGGAGGTGTTGCTGGGAAGGGGCGGTGGCTGGATTCCCCCTGGCCGCGTTTAACCCGTTCCGAGCTTTTTGGGTACTAGGGGCGGGTCCAGTGAGGGTGAGGATCCGGAGTTAGTAATCCACTACTCTGCTTCCACTTTGGGCCTCCCCCTGCAGAAACAGTTCTCATCTGCACTTCTAGTGGGTGACAAGCAGCAGGACTTTCCCTTTTGGTCCACCCTTGAATGACTCAACTGGCGCATAGTAATAAGCAAAGAGACACTCATATCAGTAAAACGGTTATTTCTCGATTGACCGACCTAGACGGTTAACCATTTCCTCTTGTACTTGCGTACCGCTATGTATTTGCCGAGGGTGCACCTGCGGTCTACAGCAGAATTGCTGTCAGGTGAATTTGGTAACCTGGTAGTAGATAAAGACTTAAGGGGCATGTAGATCAAAATGCTCCTGAGTGTTATTTTAGAGGAAATACACAGGAGAGAGGTCAAATCCTAGTGTCAACCAAATTTAGATTTAGAATCCTAGCTGTCAAACCCAGCGGTGGTGGTGAACGCCTTTAATCCCAGCCCTTGGGAGGCAGAGGCAGGCAGATCTCAGTGAATTTCGGCCGGCCTGGTCCCCAAGTCGAGTCCCAGGACAGCCAGGAATGTTTCACAGAGAAACTCTCTCACACACACACACACACAATCTAGCTGTCACTACCTGACTCCTCTTAAACCCTCTGATCCTCAATTTGATCTATGTTAGCATAGCATCCCACAAAATTGATGGTATGGGGTCCAAATTAGCATAAAATATCTAGAAGATCCTAGAGAGAATGTGGAGGATCCTGACATTAGGCTCCATGTAAACTGGCTTCTGGCATAGAATAAATAATAGCTGTTATTACACACTCACATTGAGCAATGGAGCCTCTCAGAGCCTTGATTGCAGGTGTTAAGTGGGATGAGGTTTGGAGCACCCAGAACATAAAGAGTATTTCTCTGTGCATTTGTTGAATCAATGTACAGAAACAGTTTTGAACTGGATTAATAGCCTGTTTTAAAAACTGTGAAAGCCATGTTTTACAGTTTCTAACACATTTGTTTATTTTTATTTATTTATTTATCATGTACACAGAAGAGGGTGCCAGATCTCACTACAGATGGTTGTGAGCCACCATATGGGTGCTGGGAACCGAACTCAGGACCTTTGGAAGAGCGGTCGGTGCTCTTAACCACTGATCCATCTCTCGAGCCCCGCTTTCCAGTTTCTAAAAGGTTTCTGTGGGTGAAGAAATGCACTATGCTCTCTGGTGTTAGCATGCAGGCAGCCAGTGCTGAGGGAAAGCACACAGAGCAGTCAGACCCCTACCACCTAAGGGGCTCAAAAATCCTTACTTCTTGTCACCCTAGGATCAAACCCACTAAGCAAAAAATCTACAATGAATAGACTGTGGAAGGTGAAATTTAGACATATTTTTACATCCCCCTACTTGATTTCATCCTACCAGGAAGTTGAGGAATAACTTCTAAAACTGTTTTATTTTTTTTTCTTTGACTGTGGTGATATTTTCTTTGTGCTTTAGTGTTCCTTCCTACCAGATTCATAAAAGAAGTTCACTAAAGAAGTGTAAAATGTATAAAGTTGAGAGACATTAAAAGATAGTTTTAGTAATGCAAGTTAGAATGTAAAATGAATTAGGTACAACCTTTTGGATTCACCAAAATAGGACAAATAATGGAGTATTTTCTCTGAATTTGTCAAATGTTAATGTATTTATAAAGACATTGTATTTATGGCCTATATATATTGTATATAGTTATTGTACTTATTGTATATAGTTTCTCTTATATTAGTTACAACTGTTTTTTTAGACAAAAAAAAGGGGGGCGGAAATGTGATATTTTGTTTGTGCTTTAACAGATAAACCTTGCCTGAAGATCAGAGTGTGGAGCTAGCCACTAGAGGCCAGGCAGTGGTGGTACACACCTTTAATCCCAGCACTTGGGAAGAGGAAGCAGGAAGACCAGGAGACCTGGGCTATACAAAATTGATCCAGTCTAAAAGAGAAACAGAGCCAGGCAGTGGTGACACACAGCTGTGATCCCAGGCCTTTAATCCTAGCACTAAGGATTGGAGACAGGAAGTAATATGTCTGGGGAGAGAGGAATATAAAGTGGGAAGAGACAGGAGCTCAACTCCCTTTCAGTCTGAGGTAAAAAGTCTCTCTAGCAGCATGAAATTTGCAGGCAAATGGATGGAACTAGAAAATATCATCCTGAGTGAGGTAACCCAAACCCAGAAGGACAAACATGGTATGTACTCACTCATAAGTGGATACTAGATATAAAGCAAAGGACAATCAGACTGCAACCCACAGAACCAGGGAGGCGACATAGCAGGGGGGACCCTAGGATAACTGTGGCTTATAATAAGTTTTGGTTTTACGCAATTACTGGGCAAGCCTCAATGAGACATTTCACTATTAGGATAAGAATTTATACTGTATCAAATTGATAATAGAAAAATAAATAAAAATAAAAATAGAAGTCTCTCTAGTAGCTGGCTGCTCTGCTTCTCTGATCTTTCAGTTTTCACCCTGACTCCAGGTTTTTATTATTAAGAGCAATTAGGATTCGTGCTACATTTGACATTTTAGGTTTTGTTTTGAGACAAGATCTCACTATGTAGCCCTGGCTGGCCTGGAACTCACTCTGTAGATCAGGTTGGCCACGTGCAAAGGTATATATTAGGATTTTGTTGGGGGATGTGATTAGTGCTAAGGATTGAACCCAGGACCTCACACAACCACTGAGCTATATTTTGTTATTTTCAAACAAAATCTCACAATATAAACTGGCTGGCCTCACACAAGCTGCTGTTCTCTTGTCTTTGCCTCCCATTAATACATGAGGGGTTAAAATACATGTCCCACTATGCCTGGCTTTTAGTTGTTTACAGTTCTTTTTTTTCACTCTGCAGCTGAAAGAGTTGTGTCTGAGGATATTGTAACTTATTTCAAATGTTTTGAATCTCTCCTATCTCCAACACATACATTTGGAGGGATTAAATAGGGAAGAACCACTCTAAAATGCCTGTTTTGTGTTTTTCTGTGTTAGGAATTGAGCTCAGGACTTCATGCATGTTAGATGATATACCACTACACTGCCTTCCAAGCCGTTTTTACCTATTTTCAGGTTCTTATTAAATCACAAAGGCTGGTTGGCAGTCACTCTGCCTCATCCTCCCCGGAATAGCTGAGATTACAGGCCTGTGCTACCAGATCTGACTAAAATGTTCATGTAGAGTATGGGTGCTGTGGAAAGCAGTTCCTACTCAAAAGTATCCAACCTTACATCCATGTACACCACCGCACTCAGAACTTACCCCATTCAATGGGAAAAAGAGCTTTGCAGATCAAGTTTAGGCCCGTAGGAAGATCGTCCTAGACTTTCTGAGTGGGTCAGTAATTCCAAGGGTCCTTGAAAGCATGGGTGTCTTGGAGATAAGAAGCAACACAGCTCACTGGTGCTAGTTTTTGAAGTGACAGAAAGCAAAGGAATGTAAGCAGCCTCTGGACTAAGAAGCCGTAGTCATTCAATCCAGTGGAGCTGAACTCTGACAGTGTGGATGAGCTCAGAAACGAGTCTTCAGAAAGGAAAGCAGGCACCTTGACTTCCGCCTCAGATTGAAGCAGGAAACCCCTGGAACTCCTGAAACCCACTCAGTGTTTGGACTCTAGCCCAGAGAAGTATGGAGCATTTACAAGTGTGTGTTTCAAACTACTATGTCTGTGTTAATTTCTTACAGCCAGCAAAGGCAAATGCGGGCAGTGTGGCAGCCCCTTTAGTTTATCTCAGCAAGCACTGCCTAGTTCTTGCAATGGGTCAGGCTGTGGGAAAATCCACATGTA